ACAGGAGGGGATGGTATCTGTCTCGGTGAATATTTAACCCCTCTAGTATAACGACTGGCTTCCTTGAGTACGATGTCTTCACCCCAGAGTACAATGTCTTAACCCCAGAGTATACAATGTCTTAACCAGGTACAATGTCTTAACCCCAGAGTACAATGTCTTAACCCCAGAATATGAAGTCTTAACCCCCACGCATGGTGGTCAAGAGTACTGTACTGTATTATCAAGTGCGGCAAACCTTTTGTGGTAATCCCTGATATTATTATTAATTTTGTTATTATTTAAATATATACAGGTATATTTTTACTGCAGATGTTATAAGTATTACCATAATTATTACTGTACATTTTATTTATTTTCACTCCACATATTATTATTATTATTATTATTATTATTATTATTATTATTATTATTATTATTATTTAATGTTAGACTGGGACCTTGATGTACAATATATTCCCTTTAAAAGTCGTCAAACACCCCAGGACGAACGTGAGTGTATATGGGTCATGGTATACAGCTTAATAACTCACCCGAGGGTCAGACACTACTGTAAACAAGTCAGGGGATTGTCAGTGAGTGAATTGGTAAAGGTCGAGTCAATTGGTTTAGCTTAGGTTAGGGTAGGGTAGGTTAGGGTAGGGTAGGGTAGGGTAGGTTAGGTTAGGTTAGGTTAGGTTAGGTAAATGTCTTGTAAAACCCAGTGTCAAGGGAATTATGCGGCTCAGGTATACGCAAAGGATTTATTGAACAAGAGGAGAAAGCAGGTGATTGGCTTGTGTCTTGTTCTTGGTCGAGGAGTATATTGGTTATATTAGTATACTCTGATTAACATGATATACTGTACTGTACTCTGATTAACATGATATACTGTACACTGATTAACATGAAACACTGTACTGTACTCTGATTAACATGATATACTGTACACTGATTAACATGAAACACTGTACTGTACTCTGATTAACATGATATACTGTACACTGATTAACATGAAACACTGTACTGTACTCTGATTAACATGTTATATTGTACACTGATTAACATGATACACTGTACTGTGATTAACATTGATATACTGTACTCTGATTAACATTGATATACTGTACTGTACTGTACACTGATTAACATGAAACACTGTACTGTACTCTGATTAACATGTTATATTGTACACTGATTAACATAATATACTGTACTGTACTCTGATTAACATGATATACTGTACTGTACTCTGATTAACATGATATACTGTACTGTACTCTGATTAACATTGATATACTCTGACAACATTAGTATAAGCTGACAATGTAGATGGGAAGGTAGTGGTGATGAGGTGGTATGAGGGAACATCTCAGTAAATGTGTCCATACATACTCGTCCATGACAGTAACCAGATAATAAGTTCATGACAGTAACCAGCTGATAAGTTCATGACAGTAACCAGCTAATAATTTCATGTCACTTTCTTTCCTGTCATACACTCCCACTTCACCCTGGTCCACTTCATGTCTTAGCCATGCACGACTGTCTGATGGGGCGTTGTGTTGGAGGCCAGTGTGGGTGGGGTTAGGTTAGGTTAGGTTCAAGAGCACTTGGTGGTGTGGACAGTCACAAGCTGATAAAGGGCAGTGCTGAAGGGGGGTTGAAGGATGGAGTGAAATTGTCTAGTAGGGAGGGAGAGGGTGAATAGGGAGGAAGAAGGGGGAGGGTGAAAGAGTCAAGTACTAGGGAAGGTGGAGGGAGGGAGAGTAGAGGATATATTGAAGACAGAGAGTGAGAGAGGTATATGCCCAGTCTAGTTGTTGTTGACAAGTACCTCCTGATATTTTACACCACCAAACCTGTTGTCTCTGACCACCCAACAGTACAAGTCACGTAAAGCATAATGAAATCAACGTCTTTTATTAGTTTTTTCGCACACATGTTAGTCAGAATGTGAACACTGAGCAGGTGTTGCTGACAATGGTGACTTTGAATAATAAATGACTTTTTTCTGCTTCTAGGTTAGAGTTGTGTATGGTGGAGGTGGTGTTGTGAGTACCATGCATTGTCTAGTGTGTTTGTCTGTCTGTCCTCCCTCTCACATGTGTAGTGCACTATGACACACACACACACACCAAGTAGGACCCCTCACCCCAAGTGTCCTTCATTAACCCTCTGAGCTTTCTTGAACATTAGTCTATAAAATAGGTTGTTGATACAGTGCCTTTCAGGTGTGTGAAGGTCTGGGTTACAGGGAGTGTGTTGGTGGTGGTAATTGAGGGAGAGCTGGTGAGGGGGAGAGAGGAGGAGGGTAGTATTATGGGGGCGTGTCACTGTTTAGTACATGGGGACTCCTACACACACACACATACCTATGCAACAGTAAACATACCTCTTTATATAATGCTGTTACAGAATAATTTTGTTTCAACCAAATAAATTTCTGCATTGGAGATTAGGTCATGTACTGAAATTTCAAAAACTGTACTGAATTATATAAGGTAAAGTAGTAAGTGGAACTCAATCATCTGAAAACCATCTACAAGTTTCTACAGATTACGATTTTAATTTAATTTTATTTCTTTTCTCAGTTTGGCTATCAGAAAACTTTTGTTGAAACCATTGATACAAACGTCTTTGATGTTGTTGTCTTTCGAGTCGTGTTTACTAACTCCGTGATGTCGGTGTTTGGTTATTGGCGTATTTCTTCGTTTCGGTGTTGACGTCCGGTCTTACCGTGAGGACGTCCAGGAGTTAATTAGCATTGTGTCTAAGGACGGACTGGATTATACAGAAAAATCCCTCGAAATTCACTCCGTCATAAAAGGTGTTCTTGGAGCTCTTAAACACTCAAGAAAATATGGAGAAAATCCCCTATAAATAAAGTCCTTGGCTGTGCTTGTACTAAACTGTGTCCGGTATCCAGCATATGTGAGCATGTTCTGTCTTCAACTGCTGTGTTATGTTTATTATTATTGTTGATGTGATTGTCATTTGTTTTTTCCTCCAAGCATGGCCGTGAGGTATTATTTTTAAGTGTCATTTAAACTTATATAAGAATAATTTTACTCAAGGTAGTGCTATTTATTGTTTGTTATTTCTGTAAGTGTTTTGTTATTATCATTCATTTCGTGGAGAAAATAAACATGAATCGTAATCTTTGTTTTTCAGGATTATTCAGTCATTGTCTACATTACTTCTACTGTATTAATCTCAAAGTCTATTTAACCCCAGGACCTATAACCCAACCCAACCCAACCCAACGTGATCCGATCTGATGTGGGGGGCCTATTAAAACAGAAGCTCACTTGAACAGAGTTTTAATAGAATTGCAACCTATTAAAATTAAAGAGGACAATAGAATGATCTCATTAGGACTAGGACTCCTATAACTGGTCTCGGAGGGAAACTTACCTCAAGAATCTTCTGTACACGTGGTTGCTGATCTTGTTGTTGTCGGTCACTTTAGTTAGATGTCTCTGATTCTTGTCTTCACCTTTTCCTCTTGACGGACTGCAACGCTGGGGTGAGGAGATGTCTCGACTGGTGTCCCTTACTATGCTGAGGAGGAACAGGAACAGGGTATCCCCAAGGCTTTTACTCCGAATTAACCCCAATTTAACTTCACTTCAGCATTAGTCTCTGGGTTTATTAGTGATGAAGCCTATTAGGATTGGCGACCCTTCCAGTTAGGCCCAGTTCTAGTGATTAAGGCATCTATCTGAATCATTTAAGTTATGGCAATTACTGTAGATGGTTCCCAAAATGGTGTCAAGATTGCACTGAAGGATCCATACTTGAAATTCACTTGTGACCTCACTTATGGGGAAATTAGAGTAGAGTCTCTTGAGGATCATCTATGGTCTGCCTTGACACACACACACCCCACCATGGCTCAACATACACTGAGGGCGTGAGGCTGAGACCACTGCCCACTCTCCCTCAGACTACCACTCAGCTGTCCCCACCCACCCACCCCTTCTCCTGCCCCTCACACTACCACCCAGCTGGTAAGGGGGATCCATTAATCATCTGTATTATCTAATTAAGCTACACCGTTAATTAGTTATGTATTCTTCTGGGGCAGTTAAATGACAGGGGAGGGGGGGGGGATTTAGATGCCAAATACCCCCCTACACCCCCCCACCCTTCCTCCTCCTCCTCGTGGATATGCCCCTGTATATTTGTGTTCTTCCTGTTCTCTCGTGAGATTTGTCAATGGGTTAAATTGGCAGTTTTGTAAGTTTGTAAGTGTGTAAATATATCAATGGAAAATATTGTATTGCTGTGGATTATACAGTACTATAGTAATTCTATTATTGATGAAAATTGGTAGAATAACTGTGTAACGAAAGCGTCTATTTTCAGAACATTTTAAAAATTTTGCGTCGTGTGCAACTTGGCATCAGGATGGACACCAGAAATTACTGTGAAAAATATGACTAAATTGACTAAATTACTGTGAAAAATATGACTAAAGTGACTAAATTACCTGTACTGTACTTTTGAGTCATTAGAGCAGTGTTGATGGTGATTATTTTACTGATTAAACAAAATAAAGATAATATATATTGACGTTAATTTGAGTCTACCTTGCTATCTCTACAGCCCGTATGATAGACAGTTTATAACTGCCGTACTGAATGCCATACCGAAGTTCTGATGAGTTGTTTTGCACGTTACCATTTTGAAGTAACTGAATTTAACGAGTCTGTTCATTAGAGAATTGCCACACTCGGCCCCGCCCAGCAATATGACGTGTGTTTTGTGATTGGATAACGTGGCGGTATCCTCTGTGGAAGCAAATAATAGTCAATCTACAGCACGTCATTATTTGTTTCCTAACTGGCCAACCACAAGTCAAGACGAGAGAAAGAGGGTGGGACTAATTGACATTTACATAATAAACAGACTATAATAAACACAGTACTCCATAGGGTGTCTTTCCGTTGGTTGTGGTACAGAGGTGTGGGTCTTAGTGTCGTCTCTTCACTAACTGGGTTATTGTTCTTCCACAGCCATTCATGTCTCCACGATATCCAGGCGGGCCTCGGCCGGGAGTTAGGATGCCACAGATGCACAACGACTTCAACGGGGTAAGCTGAAGATGCTCCTCATGTTTACACACATAGTAAGACACAATCATCGACATAAACAGACCCAAATATTAAACGTACAAATTCTGGACATGCGTGTATTATCCATGGCCTCCTTCATTCATTACAAGTTGTTGAATATTTTATTAAACTTCGTGGCTGTGTCTCGTTTTTTATACCAGACCTTTATATAGTCTCCCTCTGCTAGTTCTACACCTGGGGTTCACAGATGGTCTCTAGCATAAAAATTGTCTGTGGGCATTAAGTTTTCCTTCCCTAGAGCAGAACACTTGTATTGATGAACTGTTATTTATTCATCTTCCCAGGGTTGTTTTATACAGTATAATCTAAACAAATCACAGAATACCAAATTATAATTTTTTGTATAGTATAAAGAAAAATATAACTCGATTATCTTTTGCTTGATGTTAAGATTTAATTACTGTACCGATATATTTACTAAATTCATATGTAAAATCAGTGACATTTTGGCAAAGAAAGTAGTTGATTTTTGACTGTTTCATGATATTTGGTGACTTTAATTAGTATTTTTATTATTATTAGCAAACCTGTAGTATATTGTAGTGTGTGTGTTATATTGTAAACAGTACCAAATCTATTTCTTGTATGTGATGTGTGGGTTATTGGGCATCTTACACATATTAGACTTGTTACTCCTGATAACAAAGGTTCACCAGTATCACATGTACAATTAATTTACTTTAGAATATTATAGTAAGGGATTTAAAATGGTATCCTTGTAGAGTTGAGAATTAACTTAAAGGTTTTGTATATTACAGTATCACAAATATCCTGATAACACCTTTAGTAATATTGTACTGTATGTAGTGTAATTATTTGATGTGTTTGGTTAGTAGCTAGCATAAGAAAGGGTTTATTTATACCATATATACTGTACAGTGCTCTATACTGTACAATGAAACCTTTATCTAATGGACTATATGGAGAGGAAAGTCCATTATATCGAGGGTCCGTTAGATGAGAAACCCCCATCTAATGAATTATATGTAGAGAGAAGTCCATCATATAAAGGTTTCACTGTACTATACTAAACAGTCCTGTGTAGAACATGCCAGTTAATGACATAACATTACTTGTGTTGCCACAGCCTCCAGGACAACCGATTATGCCCAACAGTATGGACCCCACTCGTCAGGGTGAGTATGACGCAGCTGCCCAACACTTGCTCTCAACCTCTCCCCCTCACTGTTGACACTCACTACCCAACCTTTAATGATTGCCAACTTTACCAGTGGTTAAATATCTTGTGACTCAGACGGCTGTAGCAGTGATTGATACTCAGGCCCCCCTGCATGGTCACAACCCTGTATGTCAACATTGTGGTTTCCAGTTTCTATTTTTATTAATGCTGCCACAACTGTTCCCATGACTAAGAAATATTGAGGATTTTGATGCCATTATATTGCTGTATATTACTCTTATATATTAATGGGTATATTATATAAAAGTTGAGATATATTGCCTAAGTGAAGCTCTGAACAGTCTTAGACAATGTACACCTCTTCTTTATCTATGGTAGCTACTTATGGGTCTCACATCAGTAGTGGAGTCCTGCTTATGTCTCCATAGATACAGTGTCTTAGTGTCTCCAGATTCACAAACATTCTGCATATTAAATAACTTCCCTAATTGTTTAAGGTAGAGTCACAATTCAGTTCTAATGCCATTTTTTTACACGTATTTTGTGCTTCGAGTTCAAGTCATATACGTTAATGCTGCCTTGTTTTTCCACTTACAATGAGATTTTAATATACAAGTGTTTTAGAATCTGGATCTTGTGGTTTTAGTTATTTAATAGTATTTCCGGTCCCTTCGGTACCGTAACTTGTTGAATACTGTAGTTTTTTATATAGCTTATATCTGTTTTCTTAAATATAGCATATATCTGTCTGCCAGAATAGTTCATATCTGTCTACCAGTATAGCTTATATCTGTCTGCCAGTTTAGCTTACATCTGTCTGCCAGTATAGCTTATATCTGTCTGTCAGTATAGCTTATATCTGTCTGCCAGTATAGCTTATATCTGTCTGCCAGTGTAGCTTATATCTCTTCTAGTATAGCGATCTTCTTACCTGTTTTTTTTCATTGCTTCTGTCCTGCAGTTTTTGCCGAGAGCTTTTAATTCAGACTTATGTTAGGTTATGAATTCTTCCTCTAGAGAAAATAATTTGGCAGAAGTAAGTCAAAGGGTGAGGCTAGCAATGGGAGAAATTGGTGGTTTATTTTAGATAATAGTTTGCTTTTAATGGACCGATACATCATACAGTAGTGTAGTACTAAATATCTTGCTAACGACACAGATCCAACCATTGTTTGTTATTTTAGGAGAGAAAGATCCTTGGCCAGCTTTTGTATAATGTAAAGTTCGATTTTGTTGAATGTAAACTTAAATATATATCAGTTCAGTTAAGATTGTAATGCAGAAGACTCCCATGTAAATATAACTTGAATTGTTGACCTTTGGAAACCTCTCAGCTCCCGAGGTTGACTGAAGTGTAATTAAAGAGTCGATTGTGTTGGTGTGGTATGATGGTGAGGAAACTATACGTGAAAGAGTGAGCCTTGATTTGCCCCTCACGTATACAAGTCTATGTATACAGTCTTTCTCGTCAAATCCAATCACAACCACTGTCATTCGTGTCAATTTAGATCACAAATGCTGTCAGTGTACGGTATTCTACTCTTCCTTGATTATAAGAATTAAATAATTTCTCTTTATTCCGTGCAATTCTCTTCAGTACAAGAATAGGGACTAATTAAACCTTTGACTTACTTAGTCATGTATGAACGTTTAAATCCCACAGTCGGTAGTTGCGATGGTGTCTTTAATGGTTGCTTCTGATAGTTTTCACTTTGTTTTAATAGTAACTGTTGATGACTTTATTTTTTATCTTAAGTTACTGCTTGTTAATAGCCTATTGTGTGTGTACCTGTATTACCAACTTACACTAGTGACTTTTGGAACTTTTCGTGCCCGGTGCTGACCTAGGTGATGTGTTTCTCTATTTCGTGCTCTCTGTCCTACGATATTTACTTCCTTTTATGGTAGTTCATCTTGGTTAGTGGGTTTTACTTTGATATTTTCTCCCTCCCTCCATTCCTCCTTCCTCAGTTTCTTTCTCCCTCCCTTCCTCCTTCCTCAGTTTCTCTCTCCCTCTCTATTTTCCTCTCTTTTTACTCTTTATTTTTACACTTACTCCATTTTCTCTTTTTCTCTCCTCTCTCTCTCTCTCTCTCTCAATAGTTTATTTACTTCCTTAATGGAATGGTCCTCTATAGTAATCGGCTCAGTGTCCCTTAAATTCCTCTTTATCTCAGTGTAGATCACCCGGTCGTAATAGCTGGGTGTAGCTGCTCATACAAGTCAAGGAAGCTAAGGTCGAGATTCTTCCATAACTGGGAGAAAGAGAACACATATTATTACAGTAGTTTAAGTATAGTTACCCGAGTATAGTTTTCCGAGTAGCGTTACCTGAGTGTAGTTATCCGAGTAGAGTTACCGGAGTGTATTTATCCGAGTAGAGTTACCCGAGTGTATTTTCTGAGTGTAGTTATCCGAGTAGAGTTATCTGATTAAGTGCCGTGCTGTGACTGGTCGGTCGGCTAGATGTGTTCTCCGGTCTTCAGTTATGAGAGAAATTTTACCATTGACTCTTCAGGAATCTAAACCTAGCTTAGTGATGCATGATGCTTCTTGGATTAATACGTATAATAAGATTGTGTTAAGTGATTTTATTTCATGTGATATAACTTAAATCTGGACCAAAAGAGACTGCTCGTACTTGGAGTGAGTGCCCGGTGGTGAAGACAGGTATAGATATAAGTCAGAAGTATTACTTTATCAACATCTCTTGCAGGGAACTGTTGTTTTAATATGGCCATTGATCTGAAGATATTTTATCATGAATATAGATACTGTACTATAGATTAAAAAGCATCATTTAGAGATTATGCTGTGTTTTTTCTTCAGCTTTATCTCAAAGTAAACCTGCAGTTGATGTTAATAATAATAGTTTAGAAACCTGACTACTTCTATTTTAAAAATCAGTGTTTAATTTAAAAGATCAAGAAATTATGTCCTTTAAGAGTATGTTTTTAACTCAGTATAATATGCTGTCCTCCTGTCAGTTATCACAAGTCACGTAAGTAATGTGAACCAGAATAACTACTGTGCTGTGCAGGGGGCAGCCCACGACACACCCACCCACACACACACAGTTGCCCGACAGGATTTCTCGTCTGGGAGAGAAATCACTCATACTGTCATGAACCTGGTCATTTGGGAGTGTGAGGTTGTCGTGAGGTTCTGACAAGTAGTTCAAGAGGCTGGTAATGAGGATGCTGTTGGCAGACATACTCGGATTATCTGGTTCTCCATTGTGCATAGGTTAAGGAAATGACTTTTTAAAGCTTCTTCATCAAAGGTAGCATCTGACAAGTAATGGAAATGAGATGATCTGAAACTACTGAAAACATTAGGGAATTTTTTTGGTTAGCTGTTGTTTAAAAGTATCTGTAGGAAACCTGTATAGTGTGGAGTTGTGCACACTGGTGGTTTGGTGTGGTGGTGACGGAGGCAATTAAGTTGTTGAGCCGAGCAGTCTGGAGGTAGTCACGTGGGGTAGACTCCAAGTTATCATCGCATTGGGGACCAACATCATCCGGTCACCTGTTACGTGAAGCATTTTAGTGTCACGAACGATGGCTTTAATTGATTCGTAAATAGGATAAGAGTGTCACTGATATTGGCATTACCCAACCACCTTAAAAAAAGGCCAAACAGTTCATTATTGTTTCATGTATTGAAGTATACCAATGTGGGGAGGGATATAATTTTAGAAACAGAAAAATGACCAGAAATGAAATTGCTTATCAGTTTATAATTCCTTAGTATTCGCCGGTGGTTCCTTGACATCATAAGCATGTTTGATCACAATTCATTTCTCATTTATTGATAACTAGCCCAGGGTTGACAAGGGACAGAAAATCTTAATTGTTGCTTAAAATTGTTGAGACCATAGAATAAACTGATCTATTAAAGAAATAACTATGAAAAAATTTTGGGTTCACTTCATATGCATGCGTGTGTACAGTTACCTCCCTCCAAAATTTTGTCCAGTGTGTCCGTGTTCATTTAGTTTTTCCATAATAAGTCATTAAATGATAATAACAATTTACCTGAAGTCACTCATACTTGCCCTCAGATTCTTGCAATAATAATAAATAATACAACAAAAATCACATTTCTCTCAGCATTTTTTAAGTCAGCTAAAAAAAAAATCAGTATCAGAGTTTTTGAAATAAGCCTTGAGTTCTTTGTCAGACTTTGCATTAATAAACCATTTCTTCCTCTCTTCCATTCAGGAGATGGAGACTTTGTTGGTTGGCAAGGTAGGAACTCGCCTGGCAAGTTCCCTCTCCACCAATCAGATCTTGGATTGATCCATCTCCATCAGTCAGAGCTCAGGAGTGAGCCATTTCCACCATTCAGAGCTCAAGATTGATCCGTAGCCAATCAGAAAGCTTAGGAGTGAATCATTTCCACCAATGAGAGCTCAGGATTGATCCACTTCTTCCAATCAGAGCTCAAGATTCTTCTTCATCAATCAGAAGATTAAACCAGTCTTTTAGTTCCCCGGATTAATCACCTGCCTGTTAGAGCTCCGGATCAACCCTTAATTGTTTCAAGTTCAAAATAATATCTAAATTAATATGACAGTGAGCTCTGATTTTAAATGTCAAACATTGTTATCCTATTATTGTTGTGCTTGCTTTGTGGATACATTGAGATTGGACATTAACACAACAATTCAGAGCTCTAGCCGTACAGATTGTGTGGTGCTCCTGTGTTCTGTGTTTGTTCTGAGTCCCATCAGCCCTAAGGCGTCACTCTATCACCATCCTCATCTCAGTGGCCGGCCTTCCACAATCTACCAAACAGGTTCTTAGGTTTTATAGCTCATTTATTTAGCTAATTGAGTTATACATAGTCGTTTTATTCCTTTTTCTGTACAGTACAGTATCTCAAATATGACTTAACAACTTACAGTAGTACTCTTGTTTTTAGCAATTAGTTGAGCTAAATTTCAAATACTAATATTTTTTCTATTATCGATATTTTACCTTTAACTTTTATTATGTTTAAGAAGGAAGGTGTTGGCTATAGTGTTTCCTCAGTACAGGATGTAAGTAATGGTAAGAGAGATGTAGTTAGATAAGGGTTTGGCTGTCACGGTAGTTTGTGGTGAGGTTTCGAGTGATTGACGGGGACGACATAAGAGTGAAAGTTACAGATTTTCTACTAAATAGATCTTACCTTACAGAACTAAAATAGGAAAAGGAACATATATTTAATACTTATTTCTTGAATTTATGAATGAATGAATAATCAGTGGGTTTATAAATTATCTAATGTGAAGTTATATACAGTATAATGAGGACTGAATAAATGTCTCAAGATCATATCCTCTTAAATCATAGTCTTTATGAGTGTTGAAGTACAGTAATAAAGCTCAATAATCTCTTAGTTATAGTGAGGATCTTAGTGTCTGGCTCCTGTCTTGTGGTCGGGACTTGATGCCTATTTTTCAGGGTCTGTCGAGGACTTGTTGTACAGAACTTAGGTCAAGAAAAGAACTTGTAGGACTTAGGTCAGGATAAGAACTTGCAGGTCTTGGGGTCAGAATAAGAACATGTAGTCCTAATGGAGGTAATAGTTGAAACAATTATATAGATCCTCAATTATAGTGATATAAGAAATTAATAGAGAATGAAGGAATGATATATAATCGATAATAGAAAGGACTGTACAGTATATAAATTATAGAAAGAAATATGTACCACTTTGCCTATGATAGAGAGTACTAAATATATCCTGGAAGATGATGAGGAAAAATTAATGTGTAGGATTTTGTTACTTATAAAATATTTTCTCTTTTGTGTTCTGGTTGATATTTACAACTCCCAGGCAACATCTAGGTTACGATGGCTGTTATACTGCATAGATTAGATAGGTTATATGAATGAAAGAATATTAGGGAGTTGAAGCATAAGGACTGAGGGATACTGTATGTAGTTTGTGGTAGGGAGTTATTAGGTGGTTCTCTGTGGCTTAAAGTGTAGTACATTAGGTTTGGGTTATAGGGAGACTTAATATATAAAATCCAATGAAAGCACAAGGGGTCAAATCTTGTATTGAGAAGTAGAAGAACCTGGAGTAGTATTAATTTGGATAGGAAAGATACTATCCTATTTTTTTTATGAATTTGCAGTCCAGGTGTAGCAGTTCGATGAGATTAATTGATAGTTATCCATAATTTCAGCATGTACAGAAACTACTTAAGAATCGATGTTGTTGGAGAGAGATGAATAACCGATGTAGTGATTATGAACTGGAGATATAGATGAGATATTTCAGAAGCTATAAAAAATTGATGCAAGACAATTCAGTGTTTTGGGAGGAATGGGATAAAATTTAGAAAGTGACGGACAAACTTGAGTAATGTGGAGTAAAAGGTTAGGTAGATAATCATATATATACACGGGGAAATAAAGCAGTATAGACTATCACAGATGTACTTGAGCTTTGTATAGGTCAAAAGAAGAGAAACGATTGGGAAATATATGAAAATCTGTTGAAGTTTCAGAAATAGTGACAATGTGAGTAATTTAGTGACAACAGATTAAAAAGAACCTGTTTCTGTGCTAGATAGTGTGGCTTGGCTCCAGTCTTCATATTTATTTGTCAGTTGTAATCCTAAGTTACAGTTAAATTAGGTATAAATTATAGTTAGGTTGAAGGGTACTGCACTTTCACCATTAGATAAATCACTAAGAATTTGTTTTGGTAGTTTTTGGCAAGTGGCCATTTACCATGATCATGTCCATCATCATCATTGTTTCTATATTCAGAACTGTCTGTTTACTGACAGAGGCAAGGAAGGATCTATGGGGAGTGTTCTGTGAGCTAAACTTTTATTGCTTCATTACCGACATCATTGAGATGCTTATCACTGTTTCACAGAATATCCCATATCATACCATCCTGTTGTCTGGTCTATGATGCAGTTTCTTGTCCCTCTTGTCTGGCTTTGCGTGTGTGTTACTCAGTCTGATGTGTGTACAGTACTGTAATGGGGGCATGAGAGCCATGGCCAGGTTTTTCATTTGATTATCTCTGCCCTTACTTCCTGTGTTTGGGTAACTCAAGATAGATAATAACTGTCTGGTGCCTTGATATATCTTTCTTCAAACGCATCTTTGTCAGTTCCGTTAATATTGTACATAAAGTTTTGTCTTCGATGCTAATTTCGTCAAATAGTCAATTTCATAAATTTTGTTACATAACAGAGTTGCTAAATCAAGGCTAATGTTGTTGCTTAAAAGGTTATGTTCCCCTTCTTTCGTAATGTTTGTCTGTGTAGAAAGAATTTACAATAGCTCATGTAAGGCTTTTGTTTTTAACATGGCTGACTTCCACAGGTCCACCCGGGATGAACCCCCGAATGGCAGGTCCACGAGGACCAGCCATGGGACCAGGACCAGGTATGGGTCCCATGGGTCCAGGAGCATATGCCCCAGGAATGAGGGGACCACCACCTAGCAGTATGGGTCCTGCTGGGCCAGGTGGACCAGGAGGACCAGGACCTGGGGGCCCTGGGCCAGGCATGCCTCCAATGACTATGGGAGGGCCTGGCCCTAGACAACCATGGACGCCAAACACATCTACCGTTAGTCACGTCTTTATCTTAATTTGTGAATTAAATCCTGTATATTGTTCTATGATTACCTTTTTCTGTCTAAAGGCAGTATTGTTTACATTAGTAATTTACCGTAAGTTTCTGCAGCTGTTCCATATTAAGATAAAACATAGATAAACACCGAGATTTTCAAGTTGTTATCCTCTGATGCAGGGAATGAGATAACTAATGTTGTGTTGTATATTGTAATATAAGACTCTACTGTGCAAAGTTTATTGTAAGATTATATAGTGGTGTTAGACTCTACTGTGCAAAGTTTATTGTAAGATTATATAGTGGTGTTAACTTTTTGTTCACCAACATACAACAAAATGTTTTCTTCAGTTTTGTTTACTTTTTTAGCCTCTATGATTAAAAGAGTTTTTTCTCTTTGCCTTTGAAGCATAAACCACACTAGAAGTCCCATTTAAATGCAATACTTTTGTAACAAAAAGCAACTTCAGTGCTATTTTCAACATACTGATCATAAAGGATAAGGCAAGATCTTTACTTTATTTCTTCTTCTATTTTCACCGAGTTTATTTAATATTTTCTCTGCGTATTGGACTTAGAGATACTTACAAACCTTTCATTTAAATAATAAGATTCTACATTAATTTTGTTACGAGACATTAATGAACATCTGCCCTTCCACAGCCTATGAGTTACTCCTCGTCCTCACCTGGGACCTACGGTGGCATGATGGTGAGTAACGTTGTGGTGAATGTATTGGAGGTTTTAGTTCATGAATATTGGTCATGATTTGTGGCAGATATGAGTGGTGCTGTGGATCACACACACACACACCATCTTATTTCACCATAAGATTAAATACGCTACTGCTAACTCAACCCATCCCAGGTATCATTAGGGCATTTAATCTTAAGGTGAAATAAGTTTTGGGGAGTTAATCTTCATAGGATCCATTTGTTCTATAATTTTACACTACCTTGATGGAGTAAACTGTTAATGATGTATGTGTTTACACGAGTGTCTAATTTAAGGTCCATATTCACGTATCTCTATCAGAAACATAAATATGAGCTCATATTTAGGTATATAGTTCAGTTACAGTCGCCCACAAAGGCACTATCACCTCTCCTGAACACAGACCCCAAGATTCAGACTTGTGAATCCGAAGCATTTATGGACAGAATAATGCATCAGTCTACTGCTTCAGGTTCGTGGTTCAGGAGGGCTTTTGTGGGTGACTACAGTTATCCCTTGTGGTGAAAACATAGAAATTTGATGCCATAACCTTTGATAATAAGTGAAATATTTAATCAAGTTAGCAACACATAATAAGCTGGTATCTAACCTAGCGACACATAATATGCTGGCATCTAAGTTAGCAACATATAAAAGCTGGCATCTAAGCTAATGACACATAAGCTGGCATCTACTGACTCCCAATTTTTTTTTTTTTTTTTTTTTTTACTCTGACAGGGTCCACCGGGGTCTGCTGGCCCACCTGGTCCTGGCACACCCATCATGCCCAGTCCTCAAGGTTAGTAGTCAATGCCTCCTCCTGTGTTCCGTCCCCTGTCTTGTCTAACACAGTGAACAACATAAAATATTTCAAGGTTATGTTATACTATTAAGACATCTCCCTTTTAGCTTCTGTCTTTCCTCACTGTTAAGTCATGGGAGTGTAGATCGATTCTCAGGGTTATTTCACCAGGGATTATTATTTATCAGTTTCTTCATTTCTTACCTTTTAAGTTTATGAAAAACGTGTCAGTGGTATTTAGATGTTTGGTATATATGTTCAGTATTGTGCTGCTATTCTCCTGTGCTGCAGCAACTCTGGGTGTTATAAGAAAGGCCTATTGTAATTCTTAAATATTTCAAGACATATTTTTCAATCTTCAGTGCTTCTCTAAATCTATCATTGAACACTATAATTGTTATGTAATAATACACTTCTCTAAAAATAAATGCATGAACTGTTAAAAAAGTAAATAATTATGACTATATCAATTAAATAGAAATAATTTAATCAGGGATGTATAGAAATCTTGCCTTTCTCACCCCCAGATATATCCCGTATATTATTATTTAAGATTTGTTTACCTTCACTTTTTATTGTTTTCGTCCTTCATCCAATATTTCTGAGGTGTACAGTACTTGGAGCTGATGGGTACGTTACATGACCTCTTTCTTATTTATGGTTACAATTTATATACAGTGAAACTTTCATTTAACGGACTACATGGAGAGGAAAGTCCATTATATCAAGGGTCCATTAGATGTGAAACTTCCCTCTGACGAACTGTATATAAAGATGAACGTCCGTTATATCGAGGGTCCGCTAGATGTGATCTCCCCTTCTAAAGGATAATAAGGAGAGGAAAGTCCGTTATATGGAGGTTTCACTGTTATGGCATCAGGGAAAAATTATAGAGAGTTAATGATCCTGTTCTAATGTTTCTTACAATTTGGTGTATAATTAGGTGTTAGCTGTGTCCTGGGGTAACAAATTTAAACTAACAAGCAGAATTATATATTGTATGTGGTAACTTGAGAGCCCCAGTGAAACAGTTCCCACAGTGAAGTTGATAAAAGTGTTATAGCAATGCCTCATTTATATATGGCCTCTTGAGACACACATATTGACGTTTAACAATTCTCGTTACTTTTTATCAGCGTACGTTTTGTAAGTACAGTAAAACTTTAACGTTATATAAGTCTTCATGGTGGTACAGGACATGATTGGCCATAGATGATTGTGGTGTTGGTGTATCTGATCTCTGTGTCATCATCTCCCACAAAAGCTGGAAAAGTAACTGTGGTAACTTTTTTTAGGGTCGAGTGGAGCTTTCTCTCCCGCCCGCCTGCCTCCCACCCCGCGGCCAGGTATTACACTATGGGGAGTTTGGACTCACTGCACCTCAGGGTTCCACCGTAGTTCTTGGCTATATATATATATATACTCTCTGAAATATCCCCCTTGGCAACTTACTTTTTTTTTTTTTACTCATTTTGTCAATGCCCGTTCTTGTTGATTATAAGTCCATAATGATGAATTGTGCTAATATCCTTTATGGGGTTAAGTGAGCAAGAGATTGGCTGTAAAAGTTTGCTTCATCATAAACTATTGGAATACCACATTTAACACTTCTAAAGGAGATATTAAAGCAGAATTCGCATGAGAAAGCACTGTTAGTTTATGTTTGTGTTGTGACCGTGTGACATCATCTCTTACTGCAAATGCTTAAATGGATCACGTTTTTTTTGTGGACACTCAAGCTGGATTGGATCTATTTATCTCTTCTCTGGAAAGACTTATAGACCTTATCCATCTGTGTCTCTTGAGAGTTCTCAGTTATGACAACAATGTCAACCAAAGAGAATCATCTCCAGTCGTCTGAGGTTGTCTTAACTGTTCACACAATTTTTCTATTTTTTTGGATGAAGTGTTTCATTTAATGGTTGTATAGAAGAGTGTGCCCTGAGGTGAACTATTGATTGGGTTGTTCTCCTCATGTAGTGTCTGGGGCGGCTTCTAGCTACGGCCTTACACTGCAGCAGCAAGCATTTATTTTTGTTCCGGCTGTCACTCCCCACTGGGTGACAGCCTTCAGCACGTGTGCTCAGTGCTTTTGTTTACAGATCAGTGGTCACTTTGGAGTTTGGTGTGAAGAGTTACCACCTGAAGAAACTCTTGTTTATTGTTATCATGGTTATCAGTTTATTGTAGTTATCATGTTATCACTATTATTGTTATCACAGTTATCAGTACTGTTAACTATTGTTGTTCATGAGTTTCATTAAGACAAAGTTGACCATTATGATGATTAACAAGTGTTCTCTTCAGAGTTAAATAAGCATGTCATTATTATTATTATGGTAAATAACTGAAATGAACAAGAAGTATTATGTGTTTATAAAATTTTCTTCTTTTATTTATTTTTTCTTATGAATTAACTTACGCTACTGTGTTTTATTTTAGTGTTTATATTTTATTATTTTTTTTAGGGTTACTTTTATGGTAGTCCATAGTTCCTTATTCTTTTTTATTATTAACATTTATGGTCGTTTTATACACTGTACCATCATCGTTACTGCAACAAGATCTCGTTGATTATTGCACTCTTTTGAGGAAGATTTCTGTATATTGTTATAAGCACTTTGACTTTGTAGAACCTCTTGGGTATACTTTTGTAATTTATATATATTTAATCATGCTAAATAGGGGTAAATGCAAGATAATGATGTACTGTATATAATATAATAGTAATGTGGATTATATAAAGGGACAGTCATTTAGTTACTGCAAATAGTACTAACATAACGTGATGTATCTTTGCCTCACCTTACATAGTTTAGTTTGGCTGTGTTGTGGTGATAAAGTGAGTCCCTGAAGCTTGACCACCCAGTAGGAAGAGTGAGGATACAGCACACAGTTTATTAAGCCTTCAGCACATGAGAAGACAGCGTGAGTCAGCATTAAAACTGTCTGCCTTCGCTCTACAAACCTATGATTCTTGGTACCCATTTACAGCTGGGTAGACTGGAGGGTGCCCTAGGATTGAACCAGTGACCCTTAGGACTGGTGCGAGTGCTGTAGCCACTTAGCCATGGCACCCATTTATGATAATATATTATGTCAAAAATCAAACAGAATATTTTTTTACAATAAACAAACTCATTTCTATTAAGTTATGGCTGTAAAAAAAACAACAACAACAATTTACTAAAAGCATTGGTTCTGTTTTAAGGTTTAATGAGACGATTATCCCAATTTAGTATCGTGGCATACAATTACTAACACAGTTGATATATGTGCTCTGACACACTAAGGATACAGAATTCTCCCCAAACACCTCAAATATCAGTCATTTCTACACACGAGTATTGAAGGACCAACACCAGAGTTCAGATTTTTTTTACATCATGTTGCATTCAGATATGGCAATCGCTGAAGGAGTTGTCTGTATGTTATGTAACTTTTGATTGGAATGGCAATTTTAGATCTCCCAGCCCACACATACACAGTGCCCCATCACTAAACTTCAGATCTTTATTAAATTGTGTAGAGGTTGTAAGATATGACCTTATAGAGAAGAACTGGACAAGAGAAGCTGCACGAGATCAGGCATCCCGGTAATTGCGGTTAACCTACACAAGCATGGAAAATGACCTTAGAATGACGATGGTTTGACAGTCCTCACCCCCATAAACATCACACATTGAGATTAGGCTTTTCAACATGGCTCCTGTATGGTCGGTCGGTCGTTAGAGATACATTTCGATCAGATGGTCATTGTGTTATAGTGGACACCCATACATTTGGTCAGATCCAACTGGGATTCACTTGAGAGCTGCTTGAGAAATCCCCTGTAAGAGACACTATCCTGAGGTGGACAATGAAATGGTATGTATTTATTATCACAACAGAAGCAGTCAGCCTTTATCACATATCAGAAGCAGTGAGCAAATTCACTTTTAATTTGACATATAGAATAGTGTTTCCTTGTGACTTTTTTAGTTTTTGATTATGACAATGAAGCAACTCCCTTGATGCTTCATAACACAGATTCATTAACTCGTGCTACATTATGTAACATACAGACAGGCTCCAAGTGAAGTTACCATTCAGAGCAGACGTTGTAGATAAATGAGTGTGGTAGGAACTAGTGACATTAGAAGGTTACACCACAAGAGGAGGTGATCAGGGTAATACACAAAATAGAAAATAGTATTGTCAGCAGAGTTATGTGGAATTGTAATGATTTGTATTCACCCCCTTGTGTATGGGCTTCCCTCTGAGCTGAGCAAAATCATGTTCGTTAGTCAAATAAAATCTTAAAAGTGGCATCCCCTTAGTGAAGGAGTTAGTGAAGAGTGAGGAGGCGGAGGAGAATAAGAGATGCAAACTGATTGTCAATACTGGTGAAATTTGCTTTGTCTGTCGTCAACATTAGACCTGGAAAATCTAACGGTTAAAGCCTGGACGTATGTGTTTGTGTTTTATGCGCGCACACATACACACTTACAAATACTTAAACCAAATTAACAAGCTGGAATCTTTTTCATTAGATTTATATTTCTGTATTTTAAATGAATTCTAATTTCTCTGCATTGTGTCTGCAGATTAAGTGTTTAAAAATCTTGATGTTTACCTCTCACAGTTTTAGTCTTGTGTAACCTTTTAGCAGTTGGTAATTTTATCTTATTAATGCAAGTTTTGACAAGTTTTATACTGTACGAGGAACCACAACTAAGGTGATTGGTCAAATGGTCCCCAGTCTAATACGATTCGTCTTTATTGACCCTAATCTTAATGGTTAGGTTAGGTTGAGTCATATTAAGATTAGTTCCACGTGACTAGTTGCCGCAGCGTATTCTTAAGAGTTAATTAGTGGTTTATGTTATTATCAGTTAGGTCTTTATATACTCTTTAAACTTATATCAATTTTTGTTTTATATATTTTATACCTTTTCCATTATCTACAAGGTGAGGTTAACACAGGCATATATTCAGTCTGTTCACTATGGACACAAAGGACTGTGTGTGTACAACAACCTCATGAAAGATCCAGCAACACACAACGGTAGGCAGTACAGTACATCAGTTGCGGTAACAAACTGTCAGACTTGGGCACCAGATGGCCAGGAGTACTGTATGGTCGTAAGCATTAAGTAGATAGTAATAAAAGTAGGGAGAAGTAATGTTTGTAATATATGTTAACTTTACGTAGAGAAGTGAATTGACCTCCAGCAGTTGAGGATTGTCACTGGAAGAAAGAAGGTGGTTAAATAGCCTTCCCATACGAACTTCTTTTACTTCACTATGTTCATGCCACTGTGGGTGAACAGTCCTCTATTCTAACTTTTCTGTTATAAAAATTTTCAGCCAAATGTAAGTTCACAAATATGTGAGATTTTACAAGATGCAACACACAGCATTCATGGATTCAGGAAAGGGCTTTAACCAGGTACATACATTTATTCTTCTCCCTACCCTCTCTCTCTTTACAAGCAAACCCTTCTCCACTTTAGTACAGAGTGGCTGGTGGAAGCAAGAGGAACTCAGACTTGCTCTCTCACTAACTCTCTTTTATTCATTCTAGTTGCTGTAGCAGAAGTGTTTTGCTCTGGTGTTCTCCTGAGGCTGTGAAATACCTTAAACATGTATTGAGTTGGGATATTGTTGTTGGTTGTGAAGGGAATCCTACAGGTCCTGATGTATGCATTAAAGATTAGTTGAAGCGCTGGGAGAATCTCTTGAAATCCCGGTGCAGTAAGGCAGGGGGACAACTTTTGACTCAGGGTATTTCATGTGATAGACTTATGCATGATAGTGGAGGGAGATGGTTGTGAAACAGAAGTAAAATACTAGAAAATAATAGACACATGGGCTAGTGTCATCAGTGATAAGTTGTGTCTTGTTGTGGCTACCAAAGATGATTAAGGAATAGTTTCATGTAGATAAATAGAATGAATCATAAATGAACCAATAATACACACACTTGTGAATAGGAAACAAAGTCTGGTTTTTTATAAAAAAAAATGGACACTATTAGCTTGCTGTAGAATTGATGTTACATAAAATTCCTTCTCCAAATGGAAGAAACTTTGACATATTCTTGTATAGTCAGTACTTGAGTGACACCTTCATATGACCACATCTCATATGACCCATTAGGTGGTGCCTATCTGTTGGTCACTGGCTGGTTGAAGTCCACTGATTTTTATATATAATACTTTTAAGATATGATAATTGGAAAGCATGATATAACATTAGATTAGTCTGTGGTTCAATTTACTAGATGTATAAATAGGATTCTTATTTTCAACACTTTGTTAACCTTTGTTGTGGCGTCTCTCTCTCTGTGATAATGAATGGGGTATGTTTGTCAAGATCAGTTTAATTTTGTTCAATGTCTCTTAACTGTTTATATCAATCCCTCTAAATGTCTGGCTGACTTTTTTATAGGTATTCTCACTCAGCTGTCTTTAGTATTGGAAATGTACGTCTGTCTCTCAAGCTTTCATAAATTAAGTATGGAGGCTGCTGACTTAACCTGCTAGACTGTACTGTGCACATGATGAGTCACACGTAAGGCACATGAGTCAACACTATCAAGGCCTACACAGACCTCAACTCTGATAGCCATACAGAGATATTAGGCAATTCTCACTTTTTTGTATATGATTTTCTATATTTTTTAGTTCCCATTATTATCTCGTTAACTTTGTTTTGTCTCTACACCAATACTAATCACCTCGTGTTACTTTCCTGGTAATTTTTTTATATCAATAATTTCACAAGAATTATTTCAATTAAAGTTATATTTTTAATACAGTCCAGATTGTAACACAAGATGATTATGATTGGAGACACAGAGTGAGTCCTGCCAGCATGATGTTGTTGTCTCTCTGTTAGAGTGAATGGTTATCTTCAGCAAGTCACTTACTTTATTCTCAACTGGTATTTCCATAAGCAGTGTTATCCTCCATGTAAAATTTTAGCTTCATTTTAACCAGAAAAATTCATGGATAATAGAACTAACTCTTTGGTTATGTCCTGTAAAGAACAGCTTGTAGAGGACACTGCCATGGCTTTGGGAGGGAAGCCTAGTAAACCAGATCGTCTTAAACATAATCGTCACCAGTTAAACAAAACCGATGAAACGTGACTTTTTAGAAAAAAGAGAAATAGGAAGTATTGAAAGTGTCATAGTAATGTGTGTTGTGGGCAAGATGATGTCTGTGTATTTCCGATATACCATGATCTTAATATTATAAACATGAAACCATTTCTTTCTGTTAGATTAGTTATGTCTTCTTAGACCAACTGCAGGTATTCAACTTGTGATAACTTCTGTACACTTGTTATTGATACCATGACATGAATAACCCACTTATTGGCTTTTGCAGACACATCAAGCAGTGGGGCTGATGGAATGTTCCCAATGATGAAGCCAGTACCTGGAGGAGGGATGCCTGGGGTGAGTGTAGGGTGCTTGCCTCACCTTACTTCTGATATAAGTGTAGATAGTTTGTATAACACCATAGATTGTTGAATATATATCAGTAACCACAGAAATTTGGTTTATTAAAAGAATTCAGAAAGCTTAAAAAAAAAAAAAATCAACAGGTTTCTTGCCAAAGGCTTGTGACATATAGGTGTAAGAGGCCCTTTATAGACAGTTAAAGAAGTGAATGTATTAAATTATAAATATCAAGGGAATCAAGTAAGCTTGTGAGCATAAGACGAAAGTGTTCATATATCACCACTTGTTTAATGGTGATTCAAGTGTAGGTAAGAGTACCATGTGGTGAGGGTGGAACTCTCCCTCAGGACTTCCCTCTGGGTAGTGGCCCTGATGGGCCCATGGGTGGCCCTATGGGCCCCAACACCATGGGGCCTGTTATGAATGGTGATGGCTTGGATGGCATGAAGAACTCACCTGCTAATGGTCCTGGGACGCCGCGGGACGACGGAGGCGGCATGGGGGACTACAATCTGGGAGGCTTCGGGGGCCCACAGGAGAGTGTAAGTTGTTACTGTGGCTCTATTGTGGCCGCCCTTCTGCTTGTGTGAGGTGTAGATGCTGGATGCTGCTGTATGCACATAGTAATAGTTTTGGCGATGACAGATATTTGACTTGACAGAGATGGTGTTTATCAAGGATTAATATTCATATTATATTTATTATGAATATTTAGTCCCAAAATAAGCATTGCGTTTAGTCATATTCTGTCTCTCTAACAGTGTTAAAGATCAGCTTTACTGTTAATAATTCTCTTGATCAGAGTGAAGTAGAGACTCACATGTATAAAGATTCACAAGTGCCATTTGGTTTTACAAGAAACTGTGCATTAAGTAGCATCTTCCCTTGTTTGTTTTAACTGAGTGAGTTACTAGTCCATAGTTTAGTCAGGGATGTGCAGAGGAAGATGACAGTAAAGTAAAAACTCCTAAATACTTTAAAATAATTTTTGTGGTTGTAGCTGAGAGATAACAGAGTGGCTTTGAAGCGCATGTTCTTTCATGTATGACCTGACCTACTGTAAACAACTGACCTGTTGTGACCCCACACATTGCCCTAATTCATTAATATAGTTAGGCTCTCCAAATATTACGAGAAATTCTGTATTTTGTGGAAATATTTTGCCATATTGAAAATACTTACAGACTAAAAACTTGTTTGTTTTTGAGTTGTTATCAGGAGTTATAGAAATAATGAAATGCTACATGTGTGATACTTGAGGAAGATAGACTAAGAAAGTTTTGCTGTAGCCCCACACATCAACCAATGTCTTGTACAGCATCTTGGAATATGGATGATTTTTAGCAATACATTTAGGTGATCATGAGCTCATCTGTTTTCGAAGAAAATGAAGAGCTATCATCACCACCTCAGTGTCAACATTGATCTTGTTTACTTAGTCTTTGTATTTATTCAGAAGTCTTAAACAAATGAGCATTTTTATCCACTTCACAACACACATGTTTTATTTACAAATGCTGTCAGTAGATTTGGTCAGTCTACTTTTATACACATTACCAAGTGAACTGAATCCTCCTCGGTCAGTAGTGCTCATCATTATGACTACTTCTACATCAATGACTTTTTGAAGAAGTTTATGGCATTTGAAATTGATCCGTTTTTTACGAAGCATTTTTGACTCCACGGATATCTCTTATTACGGATAATTTCAATTTGGTTTAGTCTCATTGATAAGGATAGTTAAAATATTGAATTATAAGAAAAAGTTGTCATCATCTCAGGCACCAGAATTTATTAATATGCATCTAGTTGAGCATTGATTCCCCCTCCACCCCCCCTCAGAGTAAAGGTATTTGCTGTACTCTAAACATCTTGCTCTACCTACTGCTGGATTATTCTACCCAAATGTGAAATATTTCTAAAGTAGATGAATGTGATTATATCTTCATCAAGGTATATATATAATCTACAACCAGTAATAGTTAGGTATACAGGGTATGAGTATTATTGAATAGAAAAAAAAAGGAAACATGATAGTGATTGAGAAGAGAGAGAGAGAGTGTGTGTGTGTGTGTGTATGTTTGTCCTTCACTCTGTCTACCCTGCAACATAATGGGGAAATACTCACGATGTAAATGATCAATAGTATGACAATCAAAAACTATCTTAGGAATTAGTGCATCAGAAATTATCCTACTAAATATGATTTAGTGAATATATAAATTAAACAATTCTTGAAATATGAATGGATAGGTTAATACAGTGAAAATTAATTATTGCTTGAATGTGAAGGAAACACAAGCTTGACGAATTTGTTAATATTAATACAATCTGCTGATGTTTCAAATTCCTTTCTTATGTAATAGATTCAAAAGCAAATTATGTATACACATCTGTTATTATGTTTATACAGATATTTAGATGAATGCTATAGTGAAAATGGATCTTCTTCTTCATTGGAAACTGGATCATGAACTTAAACAGGTTTGAGCAAAAAACATTGAGTCCAACACACTCTTCTTAAACCCCTTGTGTACGGGGTCGCCTCTGAGCTGAATGAAATCGTCTGGCGTTAGCCGAATAAATTACTAAAAGTGGCGTCCCCGTAGTGAAGGGGTTAAGACAGATTTTTAAAATTCTCGTAGTTTTTGTTTCGGCAACTTTTAGAGAAGCTTGCTAACATCTTTGTCTTGCACACTGGGGGAAAACTTTCCTTAGAAACATTAGATTTCTTCAGAGGTGATTGTCCATCTTGCAAGTGGTTTTAGCCTTAATTTTGGACGTGTTGTTTTGATACAATTTTTTTTTATCTTGTTCTGAAAGATTGAGCTCACAGAACCATTAGCGATCACTTTATCAGCGAGTAACATGTTGAGCAGTTCTCTGTAGTTATTTGTACTCAGGATCTGATACACCGGGTGAAGTCAGATAACGCTGGGAATGTTTCTTTACGTAGTTAATTACATGATAACCTTCTTTAAGTCATTATACAGGAGTCTAAGTCCATTTATTTCAGTTAAAATCAGGAAAAATACAAATAGTTGACTCCATTTTCTTTTTTTACTTTAGGAAGATCATATAATAAATACTAGACAAAGATGGATGGTTTAAAGTTTGACCGTACAAAATTCTCTTAAAAGGAACTATGATTTATGTAATATGGTAAAATTCTCTTGGATGGAAGTATAATTTAGTCAACACGTCAAAATTCTCTTAAACGGAACTATGTTGTAGTCAATAGGGCATCAATAGTCTTTTTCAAGCTCTCTCTTGCCAGGGTAAAGGTTGCATGTGGTATTAACCTCATCTTTACTGCGGACCAACAACGTCTTATTAACACTGTTGGCTGTGGTGTGCATGTACAGTATCATAGTGTTGGTTTAGAGTAAAGAAGAGGTTAAGGAAGCTGTGGTCTCGTTGTATCGGTCTTTAACCTCCTCTTAAGTCACGCCATTATTGTCGTGTCAGGTGCAGTAATCCTCTCGTTGTTTAGAAAGTATTTACCTTCTCCAGTACTCACAGATCCCTTATGACACATCATCTATAGAATGATTTATAATTGATGGTACATTCGACAAGAAAAGTTCTATTGCCTCTCCTGCTGCTTCATGAACCTCGAGATTCAGATTTGTGAATCCAAAACATCTGTGTCTATGGTTAAGGGTTCACGAGTCTGAATCTTTGGGTTCATGGAGCAGCAGAAGAGGCGACATGACTTTTGTTCGCCACGGTACAGTTTGCATTTCTTCATTCAGTGATATACCAAGGAAACATAAGTAGCACAATCGAAACAAAAACCATAACACAAGTGAACCCACCAGAAATTTTGCCCAATGTTCACGGTCAAATAACCCCGTCATACTACAGACAGAAACTGGGGCCCATAACATATCTAAGACTGTGTTGATACTCATGGTTTTAGTTCTTGGTTAGGAAGGAGATGTAGTTAAAAAAAATAATAACTATTGTTAAATGTGTTTGCCTTTTTTTTCTCTCTTTTTTTTTTAGCGTGAATTGAAAAGGATAAATTAATACATAATTAGACATCTTTACTACGTTCTGACTGTGTGTGTGTGTGTAAAGTATAAGCCATAAATGAGTACATCTCGGAAGTAAAATGATAAAACAAATATAGACAAAAATAATCACAATGCATCAAAGTTAATTTCTATTTAGTATATAAACTGAGGCATATTATAACTTGATCTAGTTATTTGTGTCTCATTAAATTATTAAACAAAAAAGTTACATGTAAATATTTTCCTCTCATCAGTGTGGTCAGTGTTTTTGTACCAGTGAAGGTGGAAGGAAAGTTAGGTTTGAATCCCGTTGGTGCGTACGTACAGCTGTGTTAGTCTGTTTGCTTGTCTGTAAATGTCATTGTGCTAATTTCAGAATGAATTTTGGTCTGTTTAGCTTCAGTGAGGATAGTTTTTGCTCTATTTAGCTCAGTGCTTCAGTGAGTATGATTTCTGCTCTATTTAGCTCAAGTATTAAGTGCTTCAGTGATGATTTTTGCTCTATTTAGCTCAAGTGCTAAGTGCTTCAGTGAGTATGATATTTGCTGTATTTGGCTCCAGTATTAAGTGCTTCAGTGACGATGATTTTTGCTATATATCGCTGCAGTATTCAGTGCTTCAATACTCTCATGCCCTTGAAACAAATTTACGATGAAACTGAATCCATCCATCTGTCTTGTCTCACAATTTAATATTTTCCTTTATTCACTTTTACATTTCAATATTTTGCTGAGTTTGTGTTTGGAAGCAGTGCTCTTTATCCTACAGTCATCTGGCACCTTTTGCACTTTACATTTCTCCATTTCTCCTCCTCTTTAAGGCTTAACCAAGTATCTCAAACATTTATGCACTATTTTATCCTTGGTCTTATTGCCTCATTGTCAGTCATGTTAAATGCAGACCATATTGAGTAGAGTTCACCTTCGTTATCGGGCTTTTCCCCTCTTTAAAAATGATTTATCCAAGATCACCTCTTTCTAGCAGCATTACTTAAGATCACCCCTTTCTAGCAGCATTACTTAAGATCACCCCTTTCTAGCAGCATCACTTAAGATCACCCCTTTCTAGCAGCATTACTTAAGATCACCCCTTTCTAGCAGCATCACTTAAGATCACCCCTTTCTAGCAGCATTACTTAGATCACCCCTTTCTAGCAGCATCACTTAAGACTGTCCTATTCTTTTCTTCACACAGACACTACTCAACATGGTTCATATCTTTGAGACTTCTCAAATTTTGCTCATCTTTTTCAAGTCCTCGTCACCTTCTGGTTCCCGAAGACTCGACCAAACCAGTTTATTATTTTGCCGGATATATTATCGGATTTTGCCGGATTTGTTACCAGATTTTGCCATACAGTGAAACCTCCATATATCGGACTCATCTCTCCACATAATCAGTTAGGTGGAGGTCTCACATCTAACGGACCCTCGGTATAACAGACCTTCCTCTCCATATAGTTCATTAGATGGAAGTTTCACTGTATTTATCAGGTAATAAAACACCACCACTTGCCTGATCCA